AACCATGACTGATCGGCAGATGTTGCCCCCTGTGGAAGGAGTGCACTTACTTAGCAGCGGGGGGCAGCAGAATTTCTTTGACTCTAGGACCCTAGGAAGTTTAACACTCTCCTCATCTCAAGTGTCTGCACATATGGTTTGATTAAGTCTTTAAGTAAAAGTACAGTATGTTTGGTGTCTACAATGTATTTCTTTTGCAATATAAAAGACACTTAATCTAGCTTGTAAATGTATATATAATATGAGAAGAAGTTTCACTGAATCTTTTGACTTGGTTGTGGCCAGCCTTGTTCTTTATTTTGAGTTACACTTGAGTTTGTTGCAGCACAGTCCACTTGCTTCTCTAGTATAATACACTTAATTGTATAACACGTTGGGACACATGCAACAAATTAAGCAAGGCTTCCTCTCCTTCTTCCCCTTCCCCCTTTCTTACCCTTTTAAGGAACGAAATGACACTTAAAGAATTAAACAACACAACAAAGCCACATACACTTCCCATAAAACCAGCAGATTTCCTTTAAATGTTTGTACAGTGCTGAGCTGGTGCACCAAAGGCAAGTTGCACGTTTCTTCTCTGTTATAAGAGATATGAAAGGCATTTGGACTTGGCTGTGTGAAGCATGTGGAGTCCAGTCTAAAATAGAAATTTAGCTATGGATTAGGTACAAAATAAATTTGAAATAATAGCTTTCTTTTTCATGCAACGCTTTTTTTAGCCTGTCAGAAGTTTGTCATTCTTATGAGGTTAGTCTAGTTTTGCCTTATAATGTGACCTCATTTAAAAACAAATGCAGATGCAAATTATGATGCTAAGAGTAAACTACAAGCAGTAACAGAAATACCAGCATTCCTCTGCATGGAGTCAATTTTGGGGAGATTAATTTTTGTCAAGGGAAAGGTTTGATCTATTTTTTTCTTTTTAAATGTTTTCTATAGAAATTCTCTATTTTAAAACTTTTGCAGGAAAATAGAATATTCTTATATATCAATTTTTTTATATATAACACCCCCCCCATGCAGACTTATTTTTTTAATGTTTTGCATTCAGTTTAAGGTAATGGGATGATAAATTCCATTATCAGTTATACCCCTCATGTTTCTTATTAAGGAAAAAATTTCTTTCCACTTCAGAGGCCCAAAAAAGGATGCTGATTCTTAAGCCTAAATTAAGCAGGTGGCCCATTTCTTCCCTCAGTTTCAGAGCTGCTATTGGAAGCAGAACTTGG